ATGTGAGCTTACAGGAGTGTGAGTGTACGGGTATGTGAGCTTACAGGAGTGTGAGTGTACGGGTATGTGAGCTTACAGGAGTGTGAGTGTACGGGTATGTGAGCTTACAGGAGTGTGAGTGTACGGGTATGTGAGCTTACAGGAGTGTGAGTGTACGGGTATGTGAGCTTACAGGAGTGTGAGTGTACGGGTATGTGAGCTTACAGGAGTGTGAGTGTACGGGTATGTGAGCTTACAGGAGTGTGAGTGTACGGGTATGTGAGCTTACAGGAGTGTGAGTGTACGGGTATGTGAGCTTACAGGAGTGTGAGTGTACGGGTATGTGAGCTTACAGGAGTGTGAGTGTACGGGTATGTGAGCTTACAGGAGTGTGAGTGTACGGGTATGTGAGCTTACAGGAGTGTGAGTGTACGGGCATGTGAGCTTACAGGAGTGTGAGTGTACGGGCATGTGAGCTTACAGGAGTGTGAGTGTACGGGCATGTGAGCTTACAGGAGTGTGAGTGTACGGGCATGTGAGCTTACAGGAGTGTGAGTGTACGGGCATGTGAGCTTACAGGAGTGTGAGTGTACGGGTATGTGAGCTTACAGGAGTGTGAGTGTACGGGTATGTGAGCTTACAGGAGTGTGAGTGTACGGGTATGTGAGCTTACAGGAGTGTGAGTGTACGGGTATGTGAGCTTACAGGAGTGTGAGTGTACGGGTATGTGAGCTTACAGGAGTGTGAGTGTACGGGTATGTGAGCTTACAGGAGTGTGAGTGTACGGGTATGTGAGCTTACAGGAGTGTGAGTGTACGGGTATGTGAGCTTACAGGAGTGTGAGTGTACGGGTATGTGAGCTTACAGGAGTGTGAGTGTACGGGCATGTGAGCTTACAGGAGTGTGAGTGTACGGGTATGTGAGCTTACAGGAGTGTGAGTGTACGGGTATGTGAGCTTACAGGAGTGTGAGTGTACGGGTATGTGAGCTTACAGGAGTGTGAGTGTACGGGTATGTGAGCTTACAGGAGTGTGAGTGTACGGGCATGTGAGCTTACAGGAGTGTGAGTGTACGGGCATGTGAGCTTACAGGAGTGTGAGTGTACGGGCATGTGAGCTTACAGGAGTGTGAGTGTACGGGCATGTGAGCTTACAGGAGTGTGAGTGTACGGGTATGTGAGCTTACAGGAGTGTGAGTGTACGGGTATGTGAGCTTACAGGAGTGTGAGTGTACGGGTATGTGAGCTTACAGGAGTGTGAGTGTACGGGTATGTGAGCTTACAGGAGTGTGAGTGTACGGGTATGTGAGCTTACAGGAGTGTGAGTGTACGGGTATGTGAGCTTACAGGAGTGTGAGTGTACGGGTATGTGAGCTTACAGGAGTGTGAGTGTACGGGTATGTGAGCTTACAGGAGTGTGAGTGTACGGGCATGTGAGCTTACAGGAGTGTGAGTGTACGGGCATGTGAGCTTACAGGAGTGTGAGTGTACGGGCATGTGAGCTTACAGGAGTGTGAGTGTACGGGCATGTGAGCTTACAGGAGTGTGAGTGTACGGGCATGTGAGCTTACAGGAGTGTGAGTGTACGGGTATGTGAGCTTACAGGAGTGTGAGTGTACGGGTATGTGAGCTTACAGGAGTGTGAGTGTACGGGTATGTGAGCTTACAGGAGTGTGAGTGTACGGGTATGTGAGCTTACAGGAGTGTGAGTGTACGGGTATGTGAGCTTACAGGAGTGTGAGTGTACGGGTATGTGAGCTTACAGGAGTGTGAGTGTACGGGTATGTGAGCTTACAGGAGTGTGAGTGTACGGGTATGTGAGCTTACAGGAGTGTGAGTGTACGGGTATGTGAGCTTACAGGAGTGTGAGTGTACGGGTATGTGAGCTTACAGGAGTGTGAGTGTACGGGTATGTGAGCTTACAGGAGTGTGAGTGTACGGGTATGTGAGCTTACAGGAGTGTGAGTGTACGGGTATGTGAGCTTACAGGAGTGTGAGTGTACGGGTATGTGAGCTTACAGGAGTGTGAGTGTACGGGCATGTGAGCTTACAGGAGTGTGAGTGTACGGGCATGTGAGCTTACAGGAGTGTGAGTGTACGGGTATGTGAGCTTACAGGAGTGTGAGTGTACGGGTATGTGAGCTTACAGGAGTGTGAGTGTACGGGTATGTGAGCTTACAGGAGTGTGAGTGTACGGGTATGTGAGCTTACAGGAGTGTGAGTGTACGGGCATGTGAGCTTACAGGAGTGTGAGTGTACGGGCATGTGAGCTTACAGGAGTGTGAGTGTACGGGCATGTGAGCTTACAGGAGTGTGAGTGTACGGGTATGTGAGCTTACAGGAGTGTGAGTGTACGGGTATGTGAGCTTACAGGAGTGTGAGTGTACGGGTATGTGAGCTTACAGGAGTGTGAGTGTACGGGCATGTGAGCTTACAGGAGTGTGAGTGTACGGGTATGTGAGCTTACAGGAGTGTGAGTGTACGGGTATGTGAGCTTACAGGAGTGTGAGTGTACGGGTATGTGAGCTTACAGGAGTGTGAGTGTACGGGTATGTGAGCTTACAGGAGTGTGAGTGTACGGGCATGTGAGCTTACAGGAGTGTGAGTGTACGGGTATGTGAGCTTACAGGAGTGTGAGTGTACGGGCATGTGAGCTTACAGGAGTGTGAGTGTACGGGCATGTGAGCTTACAGGAGTGTGAGTGTACGGGCATGTGAGCTTACAGGAGTGTGAGTGTACGGGCATGTGAGCTTACAGGAGTGTGAGTGTACGGGCATGTGAGCTTACAGGAGTGTGAGTGTACGGGTATGTGAGCTTACAGGAGTGTGAGTGTACGGGTATGTGAGCTTACAGGAGTGTGAGTGTACGGGTATGTGAGCTTACAGGAGTGTGAGTGTACGGGTATGTGAGCTTACAGGAGTGTGAGTGTACGGGTATGTGAGCTTACAGGAGTGTGAGTGTACGGGTATGTGAGCTTACAGGAGTGTGAGTGTACGGGTATGTGAGCTTACAGGAGTGTGAGTGTACGGGTATGTGAGCTTACAGGAGTGTGAGTGTACGGGTATGTGAGCTTACAGGAGTGTGAGTGTACGGGTATGTGAGCTTACAGGAGTGTGAGTGTACGGGCATGTGAGCTTACAGGAGTGTGAGTGTACGGGCATGTGAGCTTACAGGAGTGTGAGTGTACGGGCATGTGAGCTTACAGGAGTGTGAGTGTACGGGTATGTGAGCTTACAGGAGTGTGAGTGTACGGGCATGTGAGCTTACAGGAGTGTGAGTGTACGGGTATGTGAGCTTACAGGAGTGTGAGTGTACGGGTATGTGAGCTTACAGGAGTGTGAGTGTACGGGTATGTGAGCTTACAGGAGTGTGAGTGTACGGGTATGTGAGCTTACAGGAGTGTGAGTGTACGGGTATGTGAGCTTACAGGAGTGTGAGTGTACGGGTATGTGAGCTTACAGGAGTGTGAGTGTACGGGTATGTGAGCTTACAGGAGTGTGAGTGTACGGGTATGTGAGCTTACAGGAGTGTGAGTGTACGGGTATGTGAGCTTACAGGAGTGTGAGTGTACGGGTATGTGAGCTTACAGGAGTGTGAGTGTACGGGTATGTGAGCTTACAGGAGTGTGAGTGTACGGGTATGTGAGCTTACAGGAGTGTGAGTGTACGGGTATGTGAGCTTACAGGAGTGTGAGTGTACGGGTATGTGAGCTTACAGGAGTGTGAGTGTACGGGTATGTGAGCTTACAGGAGTGTGAGTGTACGGGTATGTGAGCTTACAGGAGTGTGAGTGTACGGGTATGTGAGCTTACAGGAGTGTGAGTGTACGGGTATGTGAGCTTACAGGAGTGTGAGTGTACGGGTATGTGAGCTTACAGGAGTGTGAGTGTGTATGTGAGCTTACAGGAGTGTGAGTGTACGGGTATGTGAGCTTACAGGAGTGTGAGTGTACGGGTATGTGAGCTTACAGGAGTGTGAGTGTACGGGTATGTGAGCTTACAGGAGTGTGAGTGTACGGGTATGTGAGCTTACAGGAGTGTGAGTGTACGGGTATGTGAGCTTACGGGAGTGTGAGTGTACGGGTATGTGAGCTTACAGGAGTGTGAGTGTACGGGTATGTGAGCTTACAGGAGTGTGAGTGTACGGGTATGTGAGCTTACAGGAGTGTGAGTGTACGGGTATGTGAGCTTACGGGAGTGTGAGTGTACGGGTATGTGAGCTTACGGGAGTGTGAGTGTACGGGTATGTGAGCTTACAGGAGTGTGAGTGTACGGGTATGTGAGCTTACAGGAGTGTGAGTGTACGGGCATGTGAGCTTACAGGAGTGTGAGTGTACGGGCATGTGAGCTTACAGGAGTGTGAGTGTACGGGCATGTGAGCTTACAGGAGTGTGAGTGTACGGGTATGTGAGCTTACAGGAGTGTGAGTGTACGGGTATGTGAGCTTACAGGAGTGTGAGTGTACGGGTATGTGAGCTTACAGGAGTGTGAGTGTACGGGTATGTGAGCTTACAGGAGTGTGAGTGTACGGGTATGTGAGCTTACAGGAGTGTGAGTGTACGGGTATGTGAGCTTACAGGAGTGTGAGTGTACGGGTATGTGAGCTTACAGGAGTGTGAGTGTACGGGTATGTGAGCTTACAGGAGTGTGAGTGTACGGGTATGTGAGCTTACGGGAGTGTGAGTGTACGGGTATGTGAGCTTACGGGAGTGTGAGTGTACGGGTATGTGAGCTTACAGGAGTGTGAGTGTACGGGTATGTGAGCTTACAGGAGTGTGAGTGTACGGGCATGTGAGCTTACAGGAGTGTGAGTGTACGGGCATGTGAGCTTACAGGAGTGTGAGTGTACGGGCATGTGAGCTTACAGGAGTGTGAGTGTACGGGTATGTGAGCTTACAGGAGTGTGAGTGTACGGGTATGTGAGCTTACGGGAGTGTGAGTGTACGGGTATGTGAGCTTACGGGAGTGTGAGTGTACGGGTATGTGAGCTTACAGGAGTGTGAGTGTACGGGTATGTGAGCTTACAGGTACGTTAGCTGGTCAAGTGTGCCCAGGAACTTCGGAATCTCGCCCTCTAGAGCGGTCTCTCGCAGACCTCTGGGAGAGGGAAATGGAGGGGCGGAAGAGATGAGAGTGAGAAAAGGGGAGAGAGTTGGACCATTAATGGGGAGGAAGGCGAGGGGGAGGAGAGGGAGGTATGGAGGGACGATAATGAGGGAGGAGAACATGAGGATGTTAGAATTCTTTCGGACGTTTGAACTATTACTAAAAATGATGTGACTCCATTTTTTTTTAGGAGAGATAGATAGAGAGGGTGGGTAGTGTGATAACATGTTGAAGCAAAGACTCACAGGAACTTGAGCTTCGTGAACAGGGAGAGGGAGAAAGTCGGACGGAGAAAGAGAAAGATAGAGAGGGAGGGAGGGGGGAGGGGTTGAGTGTGAGCGAGACTCACAGGTACTTGAGCTTCTTGAGCTTGGACAGGGCCTTGGGAATGGCGCCCGACCAGTAGTTCCTGCTCACCACGCTGTGAGGGGGGGGGAGACAGGAAGGAGGAGGGATCGGAGTGAGTGCCTGGGTGCTTGTGTGGGAGTGTGAGAGTGAGAATATGTACTTGTGCGTGTGTGTGCGCGTGCGGCGGAAAGGAGCGGGTGGAGGGGATGCGATCATGTGTCAAGGCGCATTGCGGTCGCAGCTCACAGTTACTCTTCTCTAGGTGCAGCGCAGTCACAGCGTGCAGGAGGGGAATGAGCGGCACTCACAGCTGCTCCTCTCAAGGCGTGCGGCACTCACAGCTGCTCCTCTCTATGTGCGGTGCACTCACAGGCGCTCCTCTCGCGGCACTCACAGCTGCTCCAGGTTTGTGAACGATCCGATAAAGTCTGGCAGAGGTCCGTTGAAACGGTTGTTGCGCAGATAGCTGCGGGGGGGGAAAGAATGAGAGGGGGGGGGGAATAGGAGAGGAAAGGGGAGGATGAGGGGCAAGGATGAGGGGCAAGGATGAGGGGCAAGGATGAGGGGCAAGGATGAGGGGCAAGGATGAGGATGATATAGGATGGGTTGGTTGGAAGAAGTAGAATCTCAAGCTATAGGTCATTCCTTACATTGAGAGCCCTCCTCATCCCGTCTTGTCTTTCCTCGTCTCCGACAACACTCTCCCCCAAGCACTATTCCATCCCCCTCCCCCAAGCACTATTCCATCCCCCTCCCCCAAGCACTATTCCATCCCTCTCCCCCAAGCACTATTCCATCCCTCTCCCTCAAGCACTATTCCATCCCCCTCCCCCAAGCACTATTCCATCCCTCTCCCCCAAGCACTATTCCATCCCTCTCCCCCAAGCACTATTCCATCCCTCTCCCCCAAGCACTATTCCATCCCTCTCCCCCAAGCACTATTCCATCCCTCTCCCCCAAGCACTATTCCATCCCTCTCCCCCAAGCACTATTCCATCCCCCTCCCCCAAGCACTATTCCATCCCCCTCCCCCAAGCACTATTCCATCCCTCTCCCCCAAGCACTATTCCATCCCTCTCCCCCAAGCACTATTCCATCCCTCTCCCCCAAGCACTATTCCATCCCTCTCCCCCAAGCACTATTCCATCCCCCTCCCCCAAGCACTATTCCATCCCCCTCCCCTCGCACACCACACCCACTCTCCCTCCATCTCCCCTCTAAGAATGTACATCTCTTTCAGCTGCTTTGGATGGGCCCTATCGCACCCTCTTAACCGCGCCCCTCCATCCCCCTCACCCAAGGCACGCACAGCTCTTTGAGTTTCTTCAGATTGGCAAAGCTCGAGGGGAGAGCCCCACCCACGCCGTCCTCCCCTGTTCCAGCGATGTTGCTGCCAAGATGCATGCGAGGATATGGCAGAAAGGGGAACGGTGCTGGTAATGGGGGCGAATCCGCGTTATAAGTTCAGTGGAAATGACAAGGACGACTTAAGGAGACGAAGATGCTTCTAACGAGACGAGGATGCTTGTAACGAGGCGAGGATGCTTACAGGGAGACGAGGTTGACAAGGTTGCCGAGGCTGGCAGGCACAGCACCATCTAGCGGGTTACCACCAATGCTCCTGTCGTGCGGGAAACAGCGATGAAACATGACATGACATGACATGACATGACATGACATCACATGACATCACATGACATGACATGACATGACAGGGGATGGTGGAGCATTGAGATGGGTCGGATGGAGCATAAGAAAGAAGGCTTGGCGGATGGACCTATTTCTGAGTCGACTCAAAAACAGCGATGAAACAGACATGACATGACATGACATGACATGACATGACATGAAATTGTGACATGACATGACATGACATGACATTGTGACATGACAGGGGATGTTGGAGCATTGAGATGGGTTGGGTCGGCGCATAAAAGAGAAGGCTTTGCGGATGGAGCTTCGACATGACACGTGGATGGCGTATTCATTAGTTGGGTGACGCATTGAGTGGCACCGCAGGTATGGCATGACACGGTTATGCATGGCGTGGCATGGCAAGGCACGGCTCGGCATGGGCTGTTGACTGACAGGTATGTGAGTGCGGTGAGTTGGCCAAGGAAGGCCGGAATGCGTCCCTCGATCCAACAGTTGTACACATCGCTGCGCGCAAGGGGAGGAGAGAGGGCGGGGGGGCGGGGGGGGGGGGAGTTGGAGCACAGACGAGCGAGAGAAGAGATGGGCGGGGGTGGGAGAAAAAGAGAAATAAAAAAGAGTGAGAGAGAGAAACAGGGAGAAAAAAAACCAGAGGGAAAGGAGAGGCAGGTGTAACGTTCAAACTGCTGCCCCCGTTTGCCCACCCGCACAGCACCGCATTGCACCATTTGCACTCACAGGTGGTTGAGCTTCTTGAGCTTGGTGAACGACTGCGGCAGCGCCTTCACCTCGCCGTTGGAACTCAAATCGCTGCCGGGGAGTAGCGGGTTGGGAGGGATGGAAGACGGGGGACAGGCGGGAAGGGATGGAGGGGCCAGAGCAGGGCGGATTGGGAAGGGCAAGAGGAGACATGCGTGAAAACGAGGTGGTTGGCCGGACGAAGCCAAGTAATAGGGTTGATTAGCTCAAGAGGACTCCAGGGTGGAAGGTGCGGTGGTGGAAGGTGCGGTGGTGGAAGGTGCGGTGGTGGAAGGTGCGGTGTTGGAAGGTGCGGTGTTGGAAGGTGCGGTGTTGGAAGGTGCGGTGTTGGAAGGTGCGGTGTTGGAAGGGTGCGAGCCCGGAAGGGTGCGAGGCTGGAAGGGTGCGAGGCTCACAGGCGTTGCAGCTGGTCCAGCGAGGAGAGCGCGTCGATGGGCCCCGCGAGATTGGCCGCCGTGACGTTGCTGCGTGCAGGGTTACGGAGCAGGGAATGCGGACGCCCGGGGCGGAGGACACGCATGCACGGGGCAGGGGACAGGGAGGCACGGGGAAGCGGCAGGGGCAGAAGATGAGAAGCAGAAGCAGCACGGGTCATGAATCCCTCGTTACGTTTTACAGAAATAGGTTTTTAAGGATAGTTACGCTCTTTATCATCGTGATCTAGAGCAGAGGGATCATGATAGATTGGTAAGTGTTGAGGTTGCATCCAATGGTCACTTCTGACAATTCTGAAGAATATGATTACCGCACCGCTTCGGTCGCGAGTCCGCAGCGACGAAGCGACCCACTCGTCGCACGGCACTCACAGTCGCCGCACGTCACTCACATGGCGACGATCTTGCCCTCGGCGTCGCACGTCACTCCATTATACTTGGAGCACTTGGCGGGCGCGCCGGTCGCCGTCCACGACTTGAACACGAAGTCCTTGCCCGACTGCGCGCCGAGCTGACGGAGAACGTCCACTGACGGACGGAGGTGGACGGAAGGGATGACGGACGGGGACGGAAGAGACGTCGGGAACGATGAGAAGGACGAATAACATTGCTTGAAGTACTGGGCAAGACAAGGGATTCCAGCCAATGGCGGAACGCCACGTACGCTGCGACTTGAGGATGATTGGATCGGACGACGCGGCCACGCGGATTGCGTCGCCGGTGGGAAGGAGGGCCGCGGAGACGACCGCGAAGACGACGCCGACGAGCGCAAGCGGCGCCATTCGACGTAGAGGCATGAGCGACGCGATCGAAGCCATCAGGCGCAAAAATCGCTGGACTTGACAGATAAAAGATTCAGTACCTCGTGGTGGACTGACGACCTGAAGACTATTTGTCGAAGGTTAACGAGAGGAACGAGTGTAAGGAGCGGTAGGGACTCGGAAGACGCAACTAAGCGGGGGAATGACGAAGCTCATGAAATTATGGTTATTTATTCTTTACTGCTGATGGTTCAGGCAGGAAGAGTGTGAGGGGTAGGCGAGATGTAGGGAGGGGAGATGGACCTGTGGAGGTAGCAGCGCAAGCGATGGCGGGCGGGAGCAGGCTGGTTCCGTGCATTGCAATGGAATGCTTCGTGCTCGAAATGCGGGTTACAAGATTATCGAACCGCATGCCACTTCCATCGACGGTAGAAAGATGGGGAATCCGCGAAGTGAAACAAGGCTTCCGAGGCCATCGCCGTCGGATCGGAAAGTTGTTGACCGCAGGCGACGACGCGTCCGCGCACCGCGATTATTGGTGCTTTGACTGCTGCAATAATCGTGGAACTGTTCTGCCCATTGGAGTTCCGTACGGAGCGAGAGCAATTTCGCGAACAGAGTGCTCACCTGTTACATACTTTTTTGTCAGCCTTAGAGTATTTGCTGAGTCTAAATTCTGGAAATCTGGTTGAAAGGTGTACATGACCATTTGAGCCCAGAGCCAGGCATGCCGCACAGTCTACATAATTATGCATCCCAGCCACAATAATCGTTGTTGCGCAGCACAGCGTGCCCATGGAGCTACCATTTCCCTGGGTAATTTAGCTCGCCCAATCCGTTCCCCCGATGGACAATGCCCCATTGTTCGCCATCGATGGAAAACCACCTTCCCACAGCATTCAGCATCCAGCCACAGCATTGCCCACATCGCCAGCCTGGAGCGCCACTTTCCCATTTTCCCAGACCTCCACCCCTCCCTCCCACTCGTCCTTACATCCCTCCCTCCTCATCCGTGCCTCTCATCCCTGGTTCCCACCCTCCCACTAGAAGACATAATCATGAGCTTACAGGCTGTTGTGTTTAAACATGACAATCTTTATGAGTACTGTGGATGGGTTATTGTATGAAAGCATTGTCAAAACTAGTAGGAAGAAACAAGAATGAAGAAAGGAGGGGTTTCACTAGCAGCAGTTGGGATACATATAGCAAACCCTAACTGGGTTGTACTCGCTACAGAGCACCCCACTACAGGCTAGATAATAACATTCTGACACACCCCCATAGCCAAAGTGGGGTGTAATCAGCACAATAAGCAAGCAAAGCTAGAGGCTATCACAGAGGGCAAGTGAGGAGGAGGAGAGACTGTGGGGGCGAGAAGATGGGAGGCGACGGCTGAAGCTGCAGACACACGGGCAACAGGAGGACTGGCACAGTGGCTACCGGCGCACGAGGGCACCGGACTACAGGGAGTAACAGGCTCTGCGGCGCGGCAGAAGCAACGGACCCACGGGCGACTGGCACAGCAAGGCTCTCTGGGCTACCGAGAGCACGACGGCTCCGGACTACAGGCGCTGCGAACGACACGACGGCGGCCTCCACGCAACTTCCCCCAACTGTCCCACCCCCCTTTCACACACACCCCCTGCTGCACCCCTAGCTCCACTCCTACGGCACCCCTCTTAAACCCTAAATCCCCGGCTCCCACACACCCACCCCCCTGAGCGGCAGCTGCAGCAGCGGGAGACGAAGGAGGAGGAGGAGTAGGGAACGGTGCACACAACCGGCACCCCCACAACCGCCACCCCCACACTCCTCACCCCCAAACTCTAAAACGGGTGACACGGGGTAGGAGCGCGGGGGACGGCGAGGGGGACGGCGCGCGGCCCCCAGGGCGCCACCACGGGGCAGCGAGGGGCCACGCGCGGCTCCCCAGGGCGCCGTGACGGGGCAGCGGGGGGGTCGCGCACGGCTCCAGGGGTGGCGCGCGAGGCCCCGGGGGCGACGCGAGGGTCGACGGGGGTGGCGCGCGGGTCCCGCGGGGCAGAGCGAGCGCCGACGAGGGGCGCGCGCGGGTCCCCTGAGGCGACGCGAGGGCCGACGGGGGTGGCGCGCGGGTCCCCTGAGGCGACGCGAGGGCCGACGGGGGGGGGGCACGCCACGTAGGAAACCGCCGCGCGCCTCGGGGCACACGGCGGGCAGAAAACCGCCGCGCGCCTCGGAGCGTACGGCAGGAAGAAGACGGCGCGCGCCCGAGGCGCGCGAGAAGCAGAACAGCAGCGGAAGCAGTTAGGTGGCGGGCCCACCCACAGGATCGACCCAAGGGGGTCGACCTGCTCTGATAGCATGTCAAAACTAGTAGGAAGAAACAAGAATGAAGAAAGGAGGGGTTTCACTAGCAGCAGTTGGGATACATATAGCAAACCCTAACTGGGTTGTACTCGCTACAGAGCACCCCACTACAGGCTAGATAATAACATTCTGACAAGCATAATTGAAAAGGTTGTTAGAATCTGGCAGCAGGAATGGTAAACTAACAGCATGCAGGAGTACAAGTAGGAAACCCTAATTTGGTTGTACCCCATATGGGCTACCCCACTACAGCCTAGACAATATGCAGCATACATGTTTGACACACCCCCATAGGCAAAGTGGGGGAGAACAAGGGGTCACACGACCAGTCAAGAGACGCAAAGCAAGCTCAGGGTGGATCTCAACGTCACCACACATTCTGAGCGCAAGCAAAGGGCCGCAAGGCCAGTCCACATGCAGAGATATATATAAGCAACAAGAGCAGTACAGTGATCAATACCTAGCAAGAGCAAGCATGCAGGTATAAATATAGAACACAGTACACACAAAAGACTACAGCAAGTGTGGAAACGTAGGCACAAGGCCTAACAAAGTACAAAAGCGTTGATGATCACCAGACGGAAGTGCCTTGGTGAATATATCAGCAGTGTTGGCCCTAGTGGCCACGTGTGCAAGACGAAGCTGACCACGCTGCTGCAGCTCTCGAGCCAGAAAGTACCGCAGAGCGATGTGCTTCGTTCTGTGCTCCAGTCTGTGCTCCTCACACAAGGCAATAGCAGCCTTGTTGTCGACGTACAGCACTGGAGGAGAACGAGGCCGCTCTCCCAGGTCGGTCAGCAGGTAGGTGAGCCAGCGTAACTCCTGAGCAGCCATGGCGGTGGCGTAGATCTCAGCCTCACAACTGGAGCTGAGAACAGAAGACGAGCGAGTAGAACGCCAAGAAACAGAACCAGAGCCAAGGCTGAAAGTGTAACCCTGTGACGACCGCTGCGTAGCCTGGTCGTCAACCCAAGAAGCGTCTGAGTGTCCAGTGAGGACCACCTCTCGCCGTCCTCCAAGCACGAGCCCCATGCCCGATGTACTGCACAAGTAGCGCAGTACCCTCTTCGCAGCATCCCAGTGCACCTTTCGGTGCCAACCAGGAGCCACGTAGCGAGCCAGAAGGCCAAGAGGGTACGCAAGGTCAGGACGAGTGCAAGTCATTAGGTACATGAGGCAGCCCACTAGCTCTGGGTAAGGGCCACTCGGCTCTACGGACTCATCCGAAGGCAGAGCTGAGAGCGAGTGACCTATAGCCAGAGGAGTGGCCTGTGCTGAGGACCAGGTGAAGCCGAAGCGCTGAAGGACCTGCTGCACCATGTGTGACTGAGTCAGTGTGATGGTGCGGCGTGCTCGGTCCCGGGTGATCTGCAAGCCAAGGTAGCTGCGCAGCTCACCCAGGTCTGTGCACGTGTGTCTCTTCTGCAGCTCGGACTTCACCAGGGCGAGGGCCTCAGTGTCAGCAGTAGCAAAGACCAAGTCGTCGACGTACACGAGGATATAGAACGGCGGCAGCGAAGTGTCGGTGCGTAGAAACAGTGAAGGGTCAGCAGTCGAAGGCGCAAACCCAAGAGCCGCAAGGGTAGTCCTCAGTGTGTCGTGCCACTCACGGGGTGCCTGGCGGAGACCGTAGACTGGCCGGCGGAGGCTCCACTGGGTACCAGGAGGGAACGTCCCAGTGAAGCCAGGTGGGCGGCGCAGCCAGATCTCCTCGTGCAGGCTGCCCTGTAGGAAAGCTGTGCTGAAGTCAAGGGAGTGAAGCTCGTAGTCACGCTGTGCGGCAACGTGCAGCAGCACCCGAAGAGTAGTCATCTTCGGGGTAGGAGAGAAGGTCTGGAAGAAGTCAACTCCCTCTCGCTGACTGAAGCCTCGAGCAACGTAACGCGCCTTGAAGACAGGCGGAGAACCTGGCGGCCGCTTCACCCTGAAAATCCACATGCCATCGACGATGTTCGCCCCGGGAAGGGGAACCTCATCGACGTAAGTGCCTGTGGACTTCCAGGATGCCATCTCTGCGTCCATGGCTGCCTGCCACTGAGAGGAGTAGGGACCCGCAATCGCCTCAGCGTAAGAGCGCGGTGTGGGGATGTCTATAGCATCCGGGTCTCCTTCAGGGGCAAGCAGCATGGCCACGAGATGAGGCGCAGCGGCTGCAAGAGACTCAAGGTCCTCGTGCCTGTCCTCAAGGACGTCCGTGCCAAGGGCACACTCACCCCCGACGGACGGAGGACAGACAGACTCAGACTCAGCAACAAGACTAGCAGCGTAGTCTAGACGACAGGCAGCAGCAAAGTCAACAAGCTCAGCGACTAAGGCAGACGCAGCAGCAGACTCAAACGACGGGTCAGTGACAACAGTGGCTAGCAGACGCGTGACAGTAGGGTGCTCAGCACGAAACCGGTCAGACTCAGGGTCCGCGACGACAGGCAAAGAGGACGCAGGGGGAGACGGAAGAGGAGTACGCTCCGGAGTAGGGGACCGACGCAGGGCTACAAGGCGTGTGCCGGGGACAGCCGGCTGACGCGGACGAGGAACACGACGACCGGTACGACTAGGACGAACAGGCGAGACTGGACGCGACGCAGGCTCACGACGCTCAGCAAGACTACCTGTCTGCTCAGTGTAAGGAGAAGGAGCAGGCAGCGGTGAGCCAGGCTGTAACGGAAGACCAGTAGACGACGGGAGAGTAAGAACCTGACGAAGAACAG